CTTAAAGCACCATGTACGTTCCTTTATAACACTTCAGACTGATAATCTGACATTACTTCGTGTGACTCCTTGATAAATGTTTTCCACTTTCTTAAGTTCCATTAGACAGTATCCCTACTGCCTATATAACTCCTGACACACAGTCTCAGTTGAATGAGACTTTAAATGAGAAAATAAATTAATGCTAAAATCAGTCACAATAAGAGGATTAGTGCAAAAACAAGCACTGGTATTCCCATCCATAAAATGCCTGATAAGTGAATAAATATAATAATATTGAACAAATAACTTGAGCTGTATAATATCAGAAAGAAGCCCTAAGATATGTATTCCAATGGGCAATCCACCAAGGCGTATCACAACAACAACCTAATCTTGCAGAAGTGAGGTCAAAATTGCCTAGAAAAAGTATGAACTAGTCATTCTTATTGATTTTAAATTGATAACAAAATTTCAGCTACTTTTCTCTGGGCTTATGTAGAAATTTCAATCTTACTCCACCTGGAAGTAGTTAATATTTAATAACTGAAGAAGGATCCAAAACATTGTCTCAAGCAGTTATTCATTTATTGCCAAGGAAGTTTCACTTCTACGTATTCTTTAGTTCTGCTGGTTTCAGGGCAAAGATTCTAAATGAGAGAAGACATTAAACCTGCTGGCCCCAGTCACTCACCATAAATGGCCCAACAACACCTGCATGGATTCACTAAAATGCCCAAATTAGAGATGTTTCTTGGGAGGATTTTAAATCCTAATAGATTAATGAGAGCTTATTGTCACTTATCATTTACTAGAGCCCTGATGTTTTCACATTTCTCAGTAGACTATTTGATTCATAAGTCCAAGGACCAATAACATAAGTTTATACAGGGACTATTATTTGTAGAGTTTCCTTGGAACAACTTATGGAACGTCAGTAGCCATTGAAAGTATAAATAGTAAACTGGATTAAATATTAAAAATAAATTGCTATATAATATTAATCATTGTAATATTAGCATATAGATTAATGAGAGCTTATTGTCACTTATCATTTACTAGAGCCCTGATGTTTTCACATTTCTCAGTAGACTATTTGATTCAGAAGTCCAAGGACCAATAACATAAGTTTATACAGGGACTATTATTTGTAGAGTTTCCTTGGAACAACTTATGGAACGTCAGTAGCCACTGAAAGTATAAATAGTAAACTGGATTAAATATTAAAAATAAATTGCTATATAATATTAATCATTGTAATATTAGCATATACAT